ATTCTTGAAAGAAAATTGGGCCAAGAAAAAAAAATAAAAAAATCTTGCTCTAAATACAATTGACCTCAATTCAGGCCCCGATTCTTCCCCTTTAAAGAAATTTTTTTAATAAAAAAGGAAAAAAGTGAAAAGAACTCGAAAAAATATTTTTGCAACACAAAGGCAATAAATAATGAAAGAAAAAAGATATCGGGAAATGGATATAATAAAATAAAGAAAATAATTATTATTAAAAACTAGTTAAAATTTTTGGTTAATAGTACAAAAGGATTGAAAGAAGTAATAAAAATAGATAAATAAAAATATAAATGAGATTGAAAACTTGGGAACTTAAGTTTAAGTTAATTATAAAGTTTCAAGCTTTCAATGTAAACTTAAGTTTAAGGTAGTATATTACGTTTTAAGTAGGGTTGTTGGCGACCGGTTATTAACCGGTACCCTCGGTTTTCGGTTATCGCCGGTTTTCGACCCCCGGTTTTCGGTTCCGGTTTTTGATTTACCCCCGGTTTTTGGTTAACCGGGACCGGTTTTTGGACAAATTTTCATCCAGAATACCCCATTAAGATGTTGTAACATTCTAACGCCTTTAAATAAATATTCTATACACTTCATCGGGGATTAGGGAGATGAGAAGTTATCAAAGCGTTGAGATGAATGATAGTATTAAGAGGTGCTGTCTAGGGATTTATAGGTCCGATATCATTCGATGACTTTAAATCTCCTGATATCCTCGATATGCAACATTTCAATATATCCCTCCAATAACCCCGATTTCAATTCTCAGCGCCGCAGGCGAAAATTCTGAATATTTAGGAAGGCCAAGAAGCCAGATTTCTTCCATTTTGATCGCTGCACGAAAAATTTTGTTAATTTGAAAGGCCAATAGCCAGATTTCTTGTTTTTATGGCCGGAGGCGAAAATTTTGGAGAATTTTGGAAAACAATAGGTAAAAATTCGCTGTTTTATTTATCTTTCTCCTCATCTATTTAAAAAATTTGCTACAACTTTTTACACTGTTGATAATTTTAAAAATAAATTTGCATATTTAAGAACAAAATTAAAAACTTAACCTTCATTTTTGGAACAAAAAAAACTGAAATAAACTTGATTCACAAAGTAAGATCGAACCTAATCCTATGAACATTGTCGCCCGCCAACGTACCCACTAAACCACGCATCTCCTCAAGGAAACAAAAAATTATTATATATACCTATTTTGACTTTTTTAATAATTCTGATAAAAATATTTTGCCAAAATGTATTTTAGTCATTCGGATTTCCGAAAAATTCCCAAAAATTTCCATCGTTAGGGGTGTATTTTTAAAACCGAAACCGGGCGGTTTTGGTCACCGGTTTTCGGTTATCGCCGGTTTTCGACCCCCGGTTTTCGGTTCCGGTTAATTCGCCAAAAACACCGGTTAACGGTTCCGGTTCCGGTTCGGTTAACCGACCGCCAACAACCCTAGTTTTAAGCTTGAACTTGTGAATTCAAGTTTTAAGGTAAAAATTTTAAATTGTAAACTTAAGTGTGAGTTAATTGTATGTATTATAAAGTTTTAAGTTGCAAACTTGAGAATTCAAGTTTTAATTTTAAAGTTTTAATATTTAAATATTTAAAACTTGTTTTACATTAAATAAAACTTGGAAAGCTAAAAATAAATTAAACTTAGATTAAAAATTAATAAAAAAATTTTAATTAATGAAACGTGGATACTTAAACAATAAGTTTTATTTTAATTTATTGAATAAAATAAAAATTAAATTTGTATATTTAATTAATGTTTTATTGCTTCTATTCTCATGCTTCACACATTATCTAAAATTATTTTATCATTTTCTATGTCACTTAAAACTTAATCAATTTTTTAAAATTTTTTTATTTTATGCCGTCCTCAATTTTATTTTTTAATCTCCAATTTTGTTTCATAATTTAGAGCTTTGATATTTTTTCTAAAGAAAAATGCCTGCATATATGGCGTAATAGGCATCGCGCGATATTTTTGGAGATATTTGAATATATCTTTCTTTTATTTTTCTGTTACTAATCCAAAACAATTATGTGATGTATCTAAAATTGTCGGCAAAAAAGATTTTTTGTTTCGAAATTTTGGTGAAATTATGGTGAATTGAATGGAATATTTTATTTATTTTTAAGGATATGATATCAAATTTTGGTTCTTGTTATTTTTTGGTATCACATTTTGTTGGTATAGTTTTAGCTCTTGATAAGGAAGTGATTTCAAATTTTAGCTTCTGTACAGATCACAACCTTTATTATATAGTCCAAACAATCCAAAAAAATATACGTCCAAACAAATTTTTATGCGTCGCGCAGATCGGATAGTTATCGCTATAGATTGGACGCACAAAATTCTGATTGGACGCATAAAGGTTGTACGCCTAATCTGGACAAGATATCCCAATATTTTTGTCAGGTTTATTGGAATTATTTTTGTAATCCTACTAAAAATCACAATTTTTACCAACATTCCCTTCTCTATACACTCTTCCTTCCCTTTCTTTTATCTGCCTTTTTTATCCAGGAGTGAGCTATTATGTGATTAAATTTATAACTTACATATACCGTCTTTTTATTTTTTATGCCGACAATTCTTTTAAAAATGCTCAACGACCTTCAAAACGTTTTTTGGTTTAATAGTAAAAAGATGAGCATTTAATTGTATTGTTTTTCTTTTTAAGGAATAACGGGGGGGGGGGGGGGGTATTTAAAAATATATTAAGTTGCCTATTTATTACAGCAAGGATGTCAAATGTAGAGAGAAAGGTATTAGGTTTGGGATCGGGGTTTTGTTATTTTCTTTGGACTAAATCTCGGGTAGCCTGTGACATCCCTCATAAAACTAAAAATTAATTTTCTAAAATTCCCCGGAAAATTAATTGTCTAAAATCTTAAAGAACGTAAACCACTAAAATATTTTGTTCATTTATTCCATTTTCTCGAAAATAAAAATTTAATTCGTGTTATATCCCAAAAACGATTGTTGTTTTTATTATTTTTGGGGTAATTGTTTTGTAGGGAGATCTCAACGGCCTTGGCAAGGTTAAAGAACGGAGACCGACATATAAAAAAGAATTTTTCTTATTAAAGGTGAAAGATAGGTTTCTTATCAGATTGTTTTTGGGAGAAATATTGGAATATTTTTAAGATGGGAAGGAAAAAATTTGGAGATTTTTAAGTATATAATTTGGGGGTTTTAAAGAAGAGCGGAAAAATGTAAAAGAATTTATATTATTGTTGATTAACCAATGTTTGGGGTATTTTAGAATATTTATTTATGATTTCTCAGACTATTAAAAATATTTTTATTGTAAAAATTTTTATTTTTTTTTGTTTTATTATAATAATTTTAACTATGAATATTTTTGTTTCTAAATAGGCTAACTTTATTGTATTTTTATGTGTTTTTGTGTATTTTTATGTGTTTTGTTTGTATTTTCCCGAAATAATATTTTATTTTTCCGGAAGCCCATACCCTTTAGTTTTGTATTTTTCTGTGTTTCTCTGTTAATTTTATTACCTTCCGGAATCCTTCCGGAATTGTATTTTCTTTCTCGAGTTGTATTTTTTCCCTATACTTTTTGTATTTTCCTTTATTATTTACCCATTTTACTAAAAATTTTTATTTTGCAATAATTTGTGTTTTCTTGCTTTTAAAATGATTCAACCATTTTATTTATTTCTTCTCCTTACAGTCTATTAAAGCCTTAAATATTTAAAATTTCATTTTCTTTGTTTTCTATTTAAAAACAAATTTATTTATTTTTATATTTAAAAATGTTTTTGTATTTTTCTGAACAATATAAAAGCACTTTACCCATTCAACCATATTTATTTTTATTTTTTTATTTATTTAAAAATAAATGCCAGCCGCTTTTTCTAACATTAACCCCTTACTTTTTATTAGTTTTTCTGCTATTGTTAATTTTCTTAAAGATTAAATTGGAAACAATAAATTTGTGTACTTTCAATAAGTATTTCCTCCTCCGTAATTACTCAAAAAATTTTTTAAAAATAATTTTTATGAATAACGTAGATACTCTAATTAAAGTCGGATTTATTAGAGGCCCATATCTGCTATAAACCTTCCCAGGGAGCCTATTAACAAATAGAAGACCACTCTCTAATAAAAGCCAATTTTCTAGTATAAATCAAGCAATGTGGGCTTATACTAGAGTTGATTTTATAATTTTTATAATTTTATAATTAGACGGTATTTATAATTTCAAAACAATAATAAAATAAATCCAAGCCTTTATTTCAATATGAGAATAACAAAAAAAAGATACTATGGGAAAACTTAAAAATTTTTTCAAAAGAATTGTTTCATAAGCAAGCACTTCCTTTAATAAATAATTTATTATTTTTTTAAATCTTAAAAAAAATTTTTTCTTTTGTTTTGTAATAAACAATTGACGAAATACATATTTAGCCGATTAAAAAAATTAAAATTGTTTATTAAAATTAATGTCAATTTATTAATATTTATTATTAAATTTATTTAATAATCTCTGACATTTTAAAAGTTTGTTAAGGCTTCTTCCTCTTTTTTATCAGGAATTTTTATAAACAAAATTTTGTAAAAATTTATTTTATTAGCTAAAGGACAATATCTAATTTTTATTGTTTTCTTGCTTTTTTTAAAATTAAATTCTGTAGATTTGTAATTTATGTAGACTCCTTTGTTTTAGTAATGTTTATGGAGCTTGCCAGTCTATTGCAAGACCATGACTAAAGTAGGATGTCTCTCATATTAGTATCAGGCTCATTTCGATGAGATACATAGAATTTTATTAAATTTGACTATAATCTAACAATCAAGTACCTAGTTATTAGCTGGGTTGCTTTGTTAGATCGTGCCATACCAGTGACTTTTTTTCTTGTTCTATACTATTAACACAATTTTTGAAAGAATTTCCACAGATATTCTAAGAATGAAAATTTTTTAAATTTAACCTTATTCCTTTTACAAATTAACAATTTATTGTTTAATAACAAAACGGTGAGAGCACACACATACACAATCCCTTAATGAGAAATGACCGCACAAAGTGGCAGCCACCCCTCCAACAACCATTTTGTTGTTTCCATTGTTTAATGCTTTTCTTGCTTCCTTTGCGCGCTTTATTTGCTCATTTTTATTCATCACATCACAATTCGCGCTCAAAACAAAACAAAAAAAGGCGCCCTCTATAAACCCCAAAACGATGCCAATTAATTGTGCACCCATTGTTTTGTTTGGCGTTGCTCTGCTGCTTTTATTTTTCTTCCATTTTCTAACACTATTATGTACATTTTACCTCTAGTGATACTCATATTTATGAGCTTTTTTATTACGAGAAAATTAAATCCAAGAAAATTTTTTTTCTTTGTTATAATTTGATATTTTTTAGTAGAATTTTTGATATGATTAGTAAATTTTAATTTTAATTTATTTTTACAATGCATTATTAGGGAAATAGTTGAGGAAAGTGGGGCTTGAAAGGGGAAGGACATAAACCTCAATTATTCCACTAACAATACGCTCTTGATCTAATTTATAGTTATATCAGTATATTATCAATATATCCTATTAGTACGGATTATCACTTCCTTTATCAATATTTTTCCACCTACTATAAACCTTAGATCTGCGCAATAATTATACCTAACAACCAACAATGGAACGAATTTAGTATTTAATTAATTTCGCCTATAACCAATTGTAGTTCCAAATCTCGGCAGATGTGGGCGGACATTCTTTGTGAATAATATATCTCCTTTCTTACCCACATTTTTCAATCTAATCCTTTTCTTTTATTTATTTTGTTCCGATTTTCTTTAAAAAATTATTTTCTTGATTTTTTTCTTGAGTTTTTATTGGAGACAGGACTGGGAAAGTCAAGCAAGTTTCGAGAGCGATATCTCGAAAAATATCAACTTGATAACTGAGAATTTTTGTTTAAGTTCTTGTCACGGTCCAATCTCTATTCTATATATACTTTTTAAATTTCTATAAAAAATTTCTTCATCTAACTTTTATAAAAATAACTATCATTTCCTCATTTAAAACACAAACAAAACTTTTGCCAATTCATCAAAAACAAAATTAAAATTAACAAACAATGACATCCCCTTTCTAAGTATATAAACATCCATCTATTTAATTTTACTTTTTTATTCTCTTTTGGGACAATTGAAGAATTGTAGCTTTAACTGACACACAATAAGCACTCTATCTATTTTGAATAACAAAATTTATTTGCGTAAATAAACTCTTCCTTTTTATCCTTCCAAATATCCCTCTCCCCTATAAACCTATCAATTTAGCTTTAACATTATTAAATTAAATGTCCTATTTATTTATATCCCATTGTGTATTTGTGTGCCAATTTAAGCGCATTATGTCAGGCTTGTTGAAATTATTTGTTGAAAATTATAGTTAAAATTTTCTTGGTAATATACATTAGAGACCGGACAGGGCTGCTCGAACTAAAATTTTTTATTCCCAGTCGGAGCATAGTGACACACAATAATGGGAGCAAAGTGAAAAAGGGCACCAAAGAGCCAAACTTTCCACCAAACTGACAAATGAGAGGGTTTTTCATTGGTCGAGATAAATGTCTCGAAAACTCAATCTCGATAACCTGGATTTCTGTTCGTATCTCGTCTCGATCCGGTCTCTAATGTGCAGCAATTAAGAACAAAATTTTATTTGTTTTATAATTAACAATTAATTGTTTTCTATAATTTTATTTATTTAAAATTCTAACAATTTCCTTTCAATTCCCTTTATCTCAATCTCAATTTCTTAAAAAAATTTTTTTATCCCCTTAATATTAAAACAATCGGCCTCATTTCAATCCCAATTGTTCATTTCTTCAATCCCTTTTACCTTTGCCACGCCTACAACTTTTTTTTGTCTTCCTCCGCCAGAGGGATTCTAAGAGAAAAATTTATCCTCATCTTGGATAACAACAAAAAATCCTTAAAAAATTTTTCCATTCTTCTTTTTTCATAAATAAAATCTTCCTCCTCTTTTTGTTAAAATAAAGCCGCTTCTTCAAGTCACTACTTACTATAATGCTTTTAGCCCTCCCTCCCTTTTCTCTTTTAAAACTCATTTGCCCTGTCCAAAATCTATCGTCTCCAATTTCAATTATCCGCATCCGTTGTGACGGTTTTTGCCATTGATGCTTTCTTTATATACTTTTTATATACTAAATAACAAAAAGTCTTCTTGTGCCAATTGGATTTGAAGAGAAGACGGCGAATTTATTTATTAGAAAAAAAGGAGAACAAAGAATTTTTAGTTAAAAAGTTGGGGGATGAAAAAAGAAGCTTTAACTTGAGGCTAATATAAGCTTATTAAATTTTTTGACTTTCATTTTTAATTTATTTTAAATAGTATAGTGCACCTACTATTTCTGTAAACTTATATTTTTGTTAAAAAGCTTCTATGTAGTTTATTTTTAATGTATTTCATGAGCTTCCGGTTACTTGAAATTATTAAATTATTTGTTATCTTTCCGGTTGGAAAAATACAAAAAAAAATACATTCAAGTTTATTTGCTATGTGTTTTCCGGAAAGGGAAATAATAAAATTAAACATTTTCTTTCCTGAAGGTCTTATGTATTTTCCTTCCGGTTGCAAGTTTTTCTCTTCCGTTATTTGTCTTTCCGGTTGGAAAAATACAAAAAAATACATTCAAGTTTATTTGTGTTTTCCGGTAGGAATCAAAATGTGTTTTCGTTTCCGGAAATAATTATGTATTTTTTTTGTATTTTTGTTTCCGGTTTCTTTCCTTCCTGTTAAGTTTAAAATTTAATTTTAACTTCAAAACACAACAAAACACAAATTAAAATATTAAAACACAAATAATTAAGACATTAAAAATTAAAAAGCAATTCAAAACACAAAGCGTCTAAATAAAAAAAGATTAAAAGAAAAAGGGCATTATTGTTATTTTTATCAGGCAATAAACACATGCGCGATATTTGGCTATAATCAATCATAGGATAATGGCTAGGCAAAATAAAAATTGCCTTTCTTCTCCTTGTAAATTCCCGACTTGCACTTGTCTGTTAAGCAACAATAATTAATTTTTCTATCAAAACACAAAAAATTACGAAATTAATTTTTCTATTTATTAGACATTTTTAATTCTTATTTTTTTATTTTTATTTAAAATTATTTTCTCAAGTTAAGAAAAATATTTTTTTAAAATTTAGTTTAGCGATAATTTTAAATTTTTATTTATCGCTAGGATGGAAGCAATTATTTGGGGGTATTTTGAATTCAAAAACTTCACCCAAACCTTCTAATCACAATCTTCTCTTGAAACCTTTTAATATTTAAATTTTAATTTTAAAATTAAAAAATATTTTTTCTTTTCTCTAGCTTCTCACACAAGCGCTAACCAAAACACACTTTTGGGGAGATAATAGGAAAGGGCCAAATTATATGTATGTATTATCCCCCCTCCCCTTCTCTACATCCGCGCAATGCCTGTCTATTATTTATTTATTTTCTTGCTTTGTTTATTAATTTTTTTTTAATTTTAAATTTTTTATTTTAATTTTTTAAAGCTTTAGGGGTCTTCAAACTTTTAACTATTATTTTATTTCTTGACCCTTCCGATACCCATACAGATTTTTTTTAAATTTTATAAACTTTCTTTGAATTTTTATTTTTTTTTGTTGTCCAAAAAAATATTTTTTCCTTTATTTAAATTAAATTAATATTTATTTATTACCCCAATTCTCAAAAATAATAATAAAAAAATATTTTTAAGGAAAGATAATCCTTTATAATAATCCTTAAGCAAGCGCTTTTCCTCTATGCTTTTCCTCTATGTGATTAACACTTGAAGAAGCAATAAATACATATTCTTTTTTGTTTTAATTTAATTATTTTTCATTTTTTTTTTATTTTTAAATTTTATAGAAAATAAAATTAATTTTATGTGAATTTTAATTAGAGATACGGACCGAGACTAGATTTTGAACAAAAATCTCGATTATCGACAATTGAAATTTTTTGAGAGGTCGATCTTTATTCTTGTACAACATCCTATGCCGGTCTCTAATTTTTATTTTTAAATTTCCCGATGAAAATCCTGGGGATATTTAGGTTTTAAATATCTCCACGAACCTTCCAATGCCTTTACCTTTTTCCATAAATTTCAAAAAAATTTCTCTCCAAATTTTTTAATTGTTTTTATTTTTCGAAAGCCTTTATCCTCTTTTTAAGCTACCGTAAACTTTTGTCTTTTATTCAGCACAATTGGCCCTTTTTTCTTCTTTTTCCCCCAATCTGCCTTTCTTTTATTTTCAATGCCCTCGGTAGCTTTTTAAAAATAAAAGACTTTTCCAAATTTATTTCATCATTAAACTGCCAATCATACAAAACATAAAGCTTACTTAAAATTTACAAAGAAAAATTTTATTTTTGTTAGGAAATTAAAAAGTCTTTTTTAAATAGTTTGCCGTTTATTAATTATTTTTTATTTATTTTCTAAGCACTTAAGCGCCTTCTTTTCTAATTTTTTAAATTAATTTCCGCCAAAATATTTTTTCCAATTTTTAAAATTTTTATTATCTCTATTTTTAATTTTTAATAAGGATTTCCCGGTTGCCATAAATATTATCTATTTTCATAATACGAGGGATGGGCTGGGTTAAGAAAAAAAGTCTTGTCGTGTTTAGGAGGGTTTTTAAAATTTTCTTCGGACGGGTTTCGGGTCGAAAAAAAGTCCGACCCATCCCTGCATAATTTTCAAAATATCCAATTTTTGTTTAATCAAAAATTAATTAAAAACCGGCCATCTGCGGGCATCCAATCCTGAAGAGAACTGGGTGTAAGTAATGATTGGGTTGGCCAGTTTAGTGTAAGCTAATGGGTCGGATATTATTTTAATTTTTATTGTTTTTTAATTGATAGTTGTTTTGAGAATCCCGACAAAGTGTTTATTTTTGTTTGGTGAATAAATTTGGGTAATGTTTGAATTAAAAGGAGAAAATAAGGACAAGACCGCTTTTTAGTAAATAAAATAGGAGGACAATTTTATCCCGAAGACCGCTTTTTGACCAAAAAAGGGGGGAAAGAAGGAACGCGTGTCCAAAAAATTCTTTTTGCATTTTTCGATCTGAGGTCTTTTTTGTAATTGATCTGGCTAGCAAAAAAATTTTTTTTCTAAAAATAAGAGGACCCTTTTATTGTTTAATTTATTCAAAACACCCTCCCCTCAC